TGGTGCTTCTGGGAGCTTGGGTTAATTTTTATAGAATACTAGCAACTAGCGATAATGAAATAGTTTCAGATTGAGCGTAGTGTAAGAAACCTCCATTACAGAACTGATTTTTCTGTTGTGATGGCCTCAAATGTGTTCCTTTGAAACTATAAAAAGTTATTCAGCTATTCCATGATGTTAGCTTTTTAAAACTCGCATATCTCTGATAGTTCTTGCTCTGCTAGCTTTTTGTTAGGTGAAGTTCTTTTCATCCCAGGTGAAGCACTATAGAAATTGAATTTAATGAGTTACATTTTGTTAATTGTTACATTTTTTTCATGTAATTTTCTTACTGACTTTAGAAAGGGGACCTTGCTGCTGAATAACAGCTTTGCTGTAATAGCTGCTGTGCTTCTGTCTCTGGGTGAAATGTCAAGATCTTTTGAGATGCTCATCCTTGGACGACTCATTATGGGGGTGGATTCTGGTAAGAAATATGCTTTTATAATTTCCCACTCATCAGACAGTGTATAACATTCAATATAGAGCATAATGCTGTAGTGTAAGAGAGTACAAAGAAAATATTCATTCAGTTAATCATGTAAATTATGATGATATTTTTAAGTTTAATCCGGTTGACCTTCTCGAATCTCGAATAAACAGGGGTCCTGTTTATTCGAGATGTTTATTCGAGACGTTAATATACCTTATAGACTTGATAGTACCATATTATCCTAATAGAGCACTTTGCTCTCAGACTGGAGGCTTACTTCTGGTTCCTGGGCTGCAGGTCACCCACGCTGTAGTCCTTTCAGTCCCTGGGGTCACATCAGCTAAGATGTGCTTCTTGGTGTCAATCGTGCGAATCACTTGCATCAGGTGTGAATTGGTGTGAGATGTTCCCCCATCCTGAATCATATGAGTCAACTTGACTCAATGTGTGAGTGTGGGTAGAGTCGTCTGGAAAGGTATCTCAAGACTATGTTGCAGATAAATAGTGTCATAGGCCACGACCTCCACTCAGTGATGGTCATTCAAAGAGCACATGTGATAGCACTATTAGAGGTCAAATACCCGGGACTTCCCATCTGGTGATGAACTGAAGAAGCCATTGTGCGTTTTAAATTAAATGATCACTGATTTCACATGTGCTAAAAAAGTGCTATCTCATAAAATGCAACTCAGTTTTGGTTTTAACAGTAGCTTGGTTATACCACAACGGAGAAATAGTAGCTACCTTTAAAAAAAATACACACATTTACAGAAGCATATGATAACTTGTTTACAATTTGTAGTGTGTGGAAATTAATTTAAGTATTAACTTGTTCTTCAGTGTAGACCGTTTCTGATGCACAGACCATCAATACTAGTACCCATGACTGTGCCCCACAGTTCAGTTCACAAAACTGTGAAATGTGACTTGATGTTCAATGTGTGTCAGTGCAGTGGAGCTGTTGGTGTGTCTGCACTTACATTTATGTGGTAAAACAAAACAGACTTCGATACTGATAAAAACACCCCCAATGCTTTTAAAGACAGCTGATGCTTACAGATCCTAGATAAGATACGTGAATGCATATTCCTCTACTATGTCAATACATACTGATGAGAGGAGTGTCTACATAGACATGAATATATTGTTTTTAATAGGTTTTAATATATTGTTTGCTTGTTTCTTTCTGACAGGTATTGCTCTCAGTGCTCTCCCCATGTACCTGGGAGAAATTTCCCCAAAACACTTCAGAGGTATGATTGGCCAGTTCAACTCCATTCTAATCTGCTTAGGAGTTTTCACTGGGCAAGTGCTGGGGATGCCTGAGCTGCTGGGTCAGGTTAGTGGTTTAGGAGGCTATGAACGATTACATTTTGAAAGTGTGCTGTATATGTCATGTTGTTTTCTGTAAGAATGGTTTTGAGGCTGGAGAAATTTTAAATCAAGACAAGAAATTGGAGTTCAGTAAATGAAAAGTGGGCTAAACATAACCACCACATCACTCCAAGTTTTCAGTATATTTTCTGTGGAGAAGGTCTGTTGACTGTGGATGTCTGTAATAAAGTTTGCTCTCAAGTCACTGTCATAAACAAAAAGCATTTAAAAGCGTTTCAGCAAGCCCAAAGCCAGTGTGAGTGAGTGAGTAAGGAATCTGAATCAATAAATTATGCTAAACGTCATATAAATTGGCACTTTAAGTAAAATGTGAACCTGTCATGACTTTGGTGATGCATTAGATAAAGTACTATTCACCTATTGTGAGAGTTGTCACTGGTTGAACTGGTTCCAGTCTTGGTTTACATTTTGTGTTTTGTTCTTAGCTGAATTTTTAGATTTTGACTTATTTATTATACATTATTCTAATGTGAGACTTAGTTCTCACATTATTGATAAGATAAGATTTGATTGCTTATTTTTAATGTGGTAACCAGTTACATGTTCTGTTTTGTCTTCTTTTCAGTGTGTTGTTATATTTAATAGTAGTATTAGTAGTTTCCTCAGCTTGTGTCTTATTGTACCTTATTTATGCATTTATGCCTCTGTCCCTCTGTGTTGCCTAGTCTCTGACATCTTAAGTTTTTGTGTTGTTGTTTGCTAGTTTCCTTTGGTTGTTTCCTGTTTTGCTTTGAAGCGTAGTTTTCTTTCATGTCTGCTGTCAGGTTTGCTTCCTTCCTGTCCTCCTCTGATTCCCTGATTGTTTTCACCTGTTGTTAATTGCTTTCACTTGTGTCTCCCCGCTCATCTGCTCATTGTCCCAAGTGACTTCTGAGTATTTATAATCTTATAAACTTTTTTGTCCTTTTTGTCAATGTGTATGTGTGTGTGAGCAGCCCAATTTATTCTCTTTGGATTTTCATGTACCTCATGTTGTGGTTTTTGTCATTTTTTGTATCTTTTGCATCAGCTGTACTATAGGCTCGCTGTCAGCTCATTCTTTTGTTTCTTGGATCCTGTTTGTTTCCTCTCGCCTGCCTGACAGGTTCCACTATATGTCTGACTTACAACATAAACCTATCAATATTAACTAGAAAAAACACTTTGAAAAAATACAGTAGTTAATGAGTAGTAAAAAAATTTATTTTATCACCGATAGCTCACAAATTGTTCATATTTTGTTCATATTCGACATGTTTAGTTCACACACTGAGAGGAACCAGCACATCAGTTTAAACTTTGGTAAAGACAGTGAAAGAGTCTAATCTTTTCCATCCGGACTGGACAATACCAAGATCAAATGCACCCAGACAACCTGGCTGCTGGGGAGTTTCTAGTAGGGCTGTGCGATATGACCAAAATCTCATATCCCGATATAAGAATTCTATCATCCCGATAACGATATAAATCACAAAAATGTAACATTTTCTGTAAATTCTGTGAATCTCGGGCAGCTCGACTTGCGTGAAGTGTTTCCAGCTGCGCGTCATGTAGCTGGAGTCGAGTGTTTTAACAGATGCATGAAACGATACATTTTTAGACATAAGTTGTAACAGCCGCCGTTTTCTTTGTCAGTATTTATTACACGGCGTGCTGCGGGGAAAAGCCTGTTCTAACGTTTGAGTCTAAGGTTTATTTTTTAGCACCTGGCGGCTCTTTTTTAACTTCTCATCCGTAAATAATCTGCTCTTTCACGAGATTCAGTTTATTTTGAAAAGATCAGGATCTTGAGCTTTATTGTGAAAGGTTTATGTGGAACATAAACAAGCGGACACGCGATGGTGTTACCGTCGTTGTCGTTAGCATAAAAACAAGCGCTTGTCCGTCCATAGTGTGGTTATATTAAATATAAGAGAAAGAACTTTAATAAATTAATATAGCCACTACAGTGACCATCAAAACGGTGAAAAAATATTGCCGTAAACAGTTTATTTTGCGACACCACAAAACAATAGTGTAAAATGAAACGATAGACGTTTTTATATCGTCATCATATATATATCGTTATATCGAACAGCCCTAGTTTCTAGTATTTCAATGTTGAAAGCAAAAACAAAATTCTCTATAACTGCATGTAGCAAGGAGACTATCCCAACTAACAAAGGATGAGAGACACATTACACCCTGGACACCCTGGACTAAATACATTTCATTGCGATGTTGACCCTGTGCTAACTTGCATATGACAAATAAAACTGAAAACTGGACAGGTTGCCAGTGTGTTGCAGGGCTAACACAGAGAGCGACAACCATTCAGACTCACATTCACACCTATGAGCAATTTAGAACCTGGAATGAACCCACGCAGAGAGAGGGCAAATATGCAAACTTCACACAGACAGATGGTGGATTTGAACCCAGGATCTTTATGCTGTGAAGCAACAGTGCTAAACGTGGCACCACTATGCTTCCCATAAGGTGCAAATTAGTCCATTCAAATTTATTTGGAGAAAAACCTAATTGTATAGGACAGAAAAACTGAAACATCTTAAGACCGTAGACACAGATTCCTTAAACTTTGTGTGCATATAATTTTGAGAGGTTCTGTTGTGATAAAATGTGATAAATTGTGGAGCTGATGCCTGCTTAGGAATCTAATGTCTGCTTTTAGCTATATATGTGGTCTTTAATCTCCTAGGACCTGGTGTCCACATATGTGGACATCACATTTTGGGTTGTCTAGACCGAAATTTCTTTGTGCCTCTCACGTCTGTGTGTGACCTTGGCGACTATGTGGCATTAAGGTGAGAATTAACCACCAGCGTTTAAATGTCAATGTAACACTGGTGGTGCAATACTAGTAGTGAGCATGTAAGACCTGTTAGTGCTACTTCTTGCCTTCTTTGCATGTAGTACGGGCAGAGTAGTTACCTTTAACCACAGTACGAGGACAGAAGGGAAATATGGGCCAGATCAGACAGGTTCTAGATTCGTAGGAGCCAAGGGTGTATGACAACAGAGGACTCGTATGCAATAGGTGTAGAAAACACAATTGCATTTATTAGCAATTATTAAAGTTCAGCAGGTTGTGCACATTTAACAAAAGTAGAGCGCTTCTCAGGTCCTCAAAACCAATCCAATCCAAATAAGCAAAGGGAAAAAACCTGACCTGAGGACCAGGCCAGAACACAGTAGTTCAACATTTAAGCTATCATGTCTGTAACTTATTATTACTTCTAGTTGCTTGTAGTGTTTCTAAATTTCTTTCAAAATATTCTATGTTGTACAACAAATTATTCTAATTTCAAAGGGAAAAGGTGCATAGGAAACACACATTTAAAATAATACAAAATAGCTCAGCAGTACATTAAAAATACACATTGGCTTGAGGCTTATCAAGTTTCAGCTAAATAAAGTGCAGGTGAAGGCACTTAATTTC